CTTCTTAAACGTTTTGAAAACCTTGTTTACTTTACATACAACAATAGTTTAGTTATATAATATAGACTTAGAGAGAGACATCTTCTAAAAAAGGTTAACATGTATTACCGGCACGCGAAACCTTAAATTAAAGTGAATAAATGAAGACTTGGCACACCACTTGTGAAAGGTTGCCTACCCCTACTCTAAATCCTATTTTCAAAAGCCCCTTAAGCACCTAAATCCCACTGATTTAGGGGCCAAGGAGCCATCCAGGACTGGAGCACAGAGATGCTCTGGCCACTCCCCTTTCCAAACCCAGCCATGCCCCCTACCCAAGCAGCTGCAAGGTGGAGTGTCAGTGTTATTGTGTCAGCTCTGCTCTACACAAGGATTCCCCTGTGGTGGGAGATGTCCAACAGGGCAGATCCTCCAGGCTTGCAGCTCCTTTGTGCTAGTAGAGCAGTGCAAAGGGATCCTAAAGGCTCCAAAATCAGAAGGCAGACCAAATAAGCAGTGAGGGGTTTATTTCCTTTTTCAAAGTCACAATTTTAAGCCAACCTGATGATTTGGGAGTGGAGTGCAATTCATGACTTTGGAAGGCATGTGTTTGGTAACACTACTGGTATGGCTCTCCCACACTGCCCTCACCACAACCCCCACCTCTCTGCCCACCCTCACCATAATGATCTGTGACAGTCTTGGGCTGATGAGCTTCCCAGGTTTGTCACAGAACAGCTCTCCCTTGTGGCTAAACCAGTGGCGGATTACTGTATGGCCGGAGGAGGCCTGTGCCCAGAGGTCCCAGCCAATTCGGGCGCCCCGCAGGAGTGGCTGGAATTCTGGCCCCACCCCCTGCTCCTCCTCTGTCCCCCTCCCCGATCCTCCTCTTCCCCTTGAGGCCCCACCTCCAGCCCTACGGGAAGCTTGTGGAAGGGTGTGTGACGGTATCTCCCATAAGGCTTTATGGAAATATGCTTAGAATGTGTTTTATGCTACATGTGCCATGTAACATATCTCAAAGGTTATGATCTACTGAATGTATTAATCCTATTTGTATGCATGTATCATTTTTGTATTCAAAGTTATGAATGTTGGCTGTGTACTGGCTTGATTTCTAAATAACTTTAGTAGAGCATTTGGTTAGTTCCTGGAGAAAGGAATGTTGAAGTTAAGTACCTAATCAAGAAACACTTAAAGGACAATGAATCTTGGAATGCTGCAATCCACATAAGAAGTCTACTTGAGGACGTTCAAGGTAGCATGTAAACAATGGATGCTATCTGTAAAAACTGTGAGTCATGCATGGACATGTGACTTGCCCAGGTGACTCCTAAACTCCATCTTGGAGCTGGACTTTGCATAGGAGTGAGGAGGGGGTCTCCACCCCCAAGAGAAAGTCAATTTAAACCCCCAGGAGACCCCTCCATTTTGTCTTCAGCTGGCTAAAGAGAGAGCATCTCCACCCCCCAGGATACTTGGAGGAAACTGGAACAAAGGGCAGTGACTGCAAGGGCTGTGAGTGATTGCTGGACCCAGGCTAAAAGGAGATTAGTCTGTAAAATGGAGCATTCTGGAACTGGTCAGGATCTTATCTGTATTCAGTTTGATTAGACATAGATTTGCACATTTTATTTTATTTTGCTTGGTGACTTACTTTGTTCTGGTCTGTTACTACTTGGAACCACTTAAATCCTACTTTCTGTATTTAATAAAATCACTTTTTTACTTATTAACTCAGAGTATGTATTAATACCTGGGGGAGCAAACAACTGTGCATATCTCTCTATCAGTGTTATAGAGGGCGAACAATTTATGAGTTTACCCTGTATAAGCTTTATACAGGGTAAAACGGATTTATTTGGGTTTAGACCCCATTGGGAGTTGGGCATCTGAGTGTTAAAGACAGGAACACTTCTGTGAGCTGCTTTCAGGTAAACCTGCAGCTTTGGGGCAAGTAATTCAGACCCTGGGTCTGTGTTGGAGCAGACGGGAGTGTCTGGCTCAGCAAGACAGGGTGCTGGGGTCCCGAGCTTGGCAGGGAAAGCAGGGGTAGAAGTAGTCTTGGCACATCGGGTGGCAGTTCCCAAGGGGGTTTCTGTGATCCAACCCGTCACAGGGTGGTGAGCAATTCCCCCTGCCCCCACGCTGAGCTGGCCTGAGCCCCCGCCGGAACAAGGTTCCCCCCTCCGCCCAGTATGGCGCAGCGCTGGACCGAAGGCCCCCCATGTGGGGCTGGAGCGAGCCCCTCTCCCTCCCCCCTGTGCAGTGCAGAGCTTACCTGAGCCCCTTTTCCCTTTCCCCCTCCTCCCCCCAAACTCCTTTTTGGCAAAACTGGTCATTTGTCCATTTGCTCTTGATAACTGGTGATCAGTTGACAAGGAAAACAGGACAAATGCCCAGTTTTGCCAAAAAAGTCGGGACATCTGGAGCCAAAATGGGACGTATGGTCACCCTAGGCCAGGGGTGTGCTTTCAGTCAGGTTCCCCCTTACCTGGTCTCCCACCCCCAGGAGCCAGGGCCAGTAGCAGGGCTGGGGCCCACAGTTGGGAGCTGTGAGGGGGGGTGCAGCCAGGAGCAGGGCTAGGGCTGGGGCTGGGGGTAGGACTGTGCCCTGCTGCCCCCTGAACATTCCTCTGTGCCCTCCTAGGGGAGCATGTCTCACAGTTTGGGGACCACTGCCCTAGGCTGTGGTAAGAGCTACCCAGGGAGCCTAGGAAGCTGTGGGGAGCCACGGACCCTGCACCTGCCTTGGGCAGGGGCCAGGATGCCCGAGAGCAGCCCCCAACCCATGTCCCTGCCCCGCAGGGTGCACCGCCCAGGACAGGTGGAGGGTCCGGGGCTTCCCACAGTGGCTCAGGCTCCCTGGACAGCTCTTACCATGGCCCGGCTTCTGGCCACGCCAGGGAGTGGGACCTTGGGGGGAAGGGGAGGAGCAGGGGGCATGGCTCCATGGCAGGGGTGGGTGTGGGGGGCCCAAATGTTCCTTGTGCCCAGGGCCCCAATATATCTTAATCCACCTCTAACCTAAACACGCAAAGTTGTCAGCCCGGCAGCTGGCTCAGTAATGGAGCTCAGAGCTCTACTTGTCAGGTGAGTTTGCCTGCCAGTTTCCCCCTCGCCCTGCCCTCTCCTCTCCCGATGTTTTAGCCTCTAAAAGCTACAGGGGGCAGGGAGAAGAGGAAAGTGGGAGGCACACTCCCGTGACAAGTGCTATGGGCATAGATGACCTGTGCCTGCTGATAGTGTGGGGGCACAACCCTGGAGCAGCTGGAGTCATCTTCCCCCACCCTCCTGGCAGCCCCCCCCTTCCAGAAAGCAGCCCCCCCATTGGGAAAGCAGTGGCCTCTCAGCTGCTCCCAGTTGTTCCTCTGCCTCTCCCGTCAGAGTTAAAGCTGGGTTGCCTCCCAGCAGCTCTCAGCTGTCCTCCACTCCTGCCTCTCCTTGCCTGGCGCAGCTCACTGACTCAGCTGCGACGTAGGGAGGGGGCCTGGAGGCACCATGTGATCGAGCAATGGGGGAGGCCATGTAACCCTGCATGACCCCCTGCAAGTATTGCCTCTGGCTATGGGAAATGTACAGCTAGGCCATTCAAACCACCTTAGCTCTGCCCTCTGGTTACTCAGTTGGATAATTAGAATGAGCTTGACATGTCAGGGTTTGCAGTCCCAAAGCAGAGTAAACAGATTTTTTAAAATGATTCAATGTTCCTTTTTCTTTCCCACCGTATGTCACTACAGGATAGAGTGAAGGTTGTTTGGGGACCTTAGTTGTGCCTTTCTGATCTGAATATGTTTGGTTTTCTTTTAAATGCAACCTTAACTCAGAATTGCTTGTTTTTCAGGTAATTACTCTATCCCTGTGAAGCTTTCCCCCTTAAATTATGCATACACACTTCCCTTTAGTATAACTAACTCTGTTAGCATAGCTTTTCTTTGAGAATATGACTCAGAGGAGCATTCATGGTGCCAACAGCCACTAGGGTAATCATTACCAGAGCTATGGATGCTCATGCTCAAGGCAGGAGCAGATTGCTAGCAAGGGGTCAGGGGTCAGGAAGAAATTTCCCCCCATGAGACAGTGTTATCTAATAAGGTGCATTATGGGGCTTTCTCTCCTCTTCTGAAGCATCCAGCATTGGCTACTGTCAAGCATAGGATACGCTACTAAACAGACCAATAGGCTGATCCAGTGTGGCAGCAAGTGGGAGACTACACTAGATGGACTGTTGCTCTAGGTCAGTGACCCCTGTGCTGCGTGGGGATAGCTAAGCTGTTGTCCTGCGGAATTGGTTAATGTGTTACAGACTGTTAATGTGTGAAATTGTTGGCAGCTTCCCATCCCCATCCCACCCTGTTACCCTCCCTCTGTGCCTGGGCAGGGAGGTGAAGGCCGTGTTATCTCTGAGAGGTGATTGCCCAACCTCTCTCTGGCCCCATTTGCCTGCATTAGGTCCCCAACCTCTCTCTGGCCCCATTTGCCTGCATTAGGCCTGGATAGGTCTGTGTGTGGGAGAGAGCAAGCAGATGTGTGGGTGGGTGGGATCTCAGAGGAAGGAAGAGGGCTCAGCAGAGAGCCCCATTTTCAAACCAAGCAGGGACAGTTCTCACCCTCCTTATACACATAGGGCTCAGGTCCATCCCTCATTGCTTCCCATAAAACATCTCGACCGCTGCACCCCCAATTTGAAGGAGCATCTTCCCCTTCCCACAGCACCTCATTTAGCATTGCTTCAACGTAAATGGCCAGCCCTGCATGCTGAACTCCATCAGAAAAGAGGTTCTCATTGCCACTGCCTGCTCTGCCATCTCCCCGCACCTTCCTTTCTGTCCCTCTCCCCCGTCAGACAGAGCCTACTTCACCCCCTCCCCCTAGTTTGTCAGGGACTGGCTAGATCCCTCTCTGTGCCCTGATTCAGACCTGTTGGCTCCAGCTTCTCCTCACGTTCCTCTTCTTATTTGCCAGATGGTACTGGCCTCCTGCCCTTATCTTACTGTCCCGGGGGCTGTTTGCAGAGAGAGGTATAAAGGGGTGGACCCAGCAGACAGCCAGGGTGCAGGGAGCCAGCGGACAAGTCTGTGTGTCTGCCTCGCTCACCATTCTCACTCTGCACCATGGGGAAGGACAGGTTGCCCGGTGGCTCGAACATCTTCCTCCTGCTCCTCTTCCTCCTCCCTGGAAACACCTCACCCACCACCGAACCGTAAGCTGCACGTGGAGAGGGGGCTTGTGCTGTTTTTGGGGAATCAGGAGTCCTGGGTTCTATTCCTGGCTCTGCCACTGACTGACTCTGTCACCATGGGGCAGTCACTGCACCGCTCTGTGCTTCTGCCCTCCATCACTAACATGGGGATACTGATACCTTGCTAACACATGGTGTGTATATGTGAGGACGGAGGGAGGGCTGAGTTCATTAAGGTCTATAAGGTGCTTTGAGAGAGATCCCTGGATGGCTGGCAGCAGGTCGGTGCATTATATTGTGTTCTCTCTCTCTCTCTCATTGCCCATGCACTCCCTCCCAACTGTTAATAGGTAAAAGTGAGGGGTTCTGCCACAAGGGAGACTCTCTCACCCAGGGCTTTGGCAATACTGCTCCCTCCTCTGGTGCCAGAAAATCACTGGGGGCAACTGCAAAGCAGCTCTCAGGTTTTAACAAACATAGGTAAAGACGGCAGTTTTGCGGTCAGTGCTTCCTCTATGCAAACAGATTGAAGGAGATAACAATGCTGCTAGCACTGACCCCTGTTCCCTCTGAGATGCATACAAGCCCCCCGACATACCACCCAACAGAGAGATCTCTGAGGGCTAATGCTCTGTGCTGATAGCAAAGGGCTCGATTCCTTGTCCCAATTCCTCACTACTCTGTGGGTGGCAGTCACTGGGAGTACTGGGAAGGTTAGGCCTACTACTGCCCCCTAGAGATTAGTGCTCTCCTTTGCCACGTGGGAGAGGCAGGTTTGATTCCCAGGCTCTCTCTGACGTATGTCTACATTGCATCTGGAAAGGAGCCTCCCAGCCTGGGTCTACAGACTTGTGTTGTTAGCGTGAGCCCTGCTAGTTCATGAAAACCAGCAGTGTGGACATTGTGTCTCAGGATGGCACTTGGGCTCTCAAGAGGTTGAGCATTGTGGCACCTACTTGTTAACACTCCGCTCTGCCACGTGGGAGACCTGGATTCAGGGGCTTGTCTACACTTACTGAGCTGCAGCTGCACCACTGTAGGACTTAGTGAAAACGCCACCTACGCCGAAAGGAGAGCTTCTCTCATTGGCATGAGTACTCCACCTCCCCGAGAAGCGGTAGCTATGTCAATGGGAGAAGCCTTCCTGTTGACATAGCACTGTCTACACCGGGAGTTAGGTTGGTATAACTGTGTTGCTCAGGAGCGTGGATTTCCCACCCACCCCACCCCCTGAGTGACATAGTTATACTGACATAAGTTTGTAGTGTAGACCAAGGCTCAGTGTTTGCCCCTGGCAGAGTCCCAGAGCTCTGGCTGAGATGCAAAGGGGTCCTGGAGAAGGGAGAAATTTTGTCCCAGGGAGACCATGTAAAGTGAATTTGCTCTGGTCCTTTCTTAAGATCTAGCACCACCTCGTGGCTATTTGTAGTAACTGTACTAAATAACTTGTACTATTTACTAAATAATCTCTGCCACATTTCAGAGTAGCAGCCGTGTTAGTCTGTATCCGTAAAAAGAACAGGAGTACTTGTGGCACCTTAGAGACTAACAAATTTATTAGAGCATAAGCTTTCATGGACTACAGCCCACTTCTTCGGATGCATACAGAGTGGAATAAATATTGAGGATATATATATACACGCATACAGAGAGCATAAACAGGTGGGAGTTGTCTTACCAACTCTGAGAGGCCAATTAAGTAAGAGAAAAATTTTTGAAGTGATAATCAAGATAGCCCAGTACAGACAGTTTGATAACTGTCTGTACTGGGCTATCTTGATT